TTGAACTGAAATAGCCATCTTCAGGATCAGTTTGAGTAGTTAACAGCCTAACTTAAGGCCTAAACGCATCTAGTTTCTGAAGTGCATGCCCTCAAATATAAGGGCCTTTTTCGGGGAGAGTATTTCAAGATCACCTAGGCATTCGTGACGTCATTATAAAATCATTCGAACCCTGCCACTCCATAAACCGTGCAATTATTCAGACCAATAAAGCTGTAATGGTAGAGTCGTTCATATCAGGCGTTTCGTGAGCACGATTTTCAGATATAAACGGCCGTCGATTGGCTCCCAATGTTGTGCGAGGTTCGATGATGTATCATGATGTACCAACAATGGCGTACCGAAGAGTATATTTCAGTTGTTAATTGCATTTGCGAAGAATAGTGTTCACATAGGCAAAACAGTGGTAATAGGTTATTCCTCGGAGAAAAACGAGGAGAATAGAGATATAGATGCATTGATATTTCGGCAACGCCCCGTATCAAAACAAACAGCGAAGTGCATTCACTTCGACTATCTGTCTGTCACCTAATGCACGACGCTTGAAATCTGCGTTTGCTGGCAGTCACCCCTCGGCCCACACTTCTTAGTCACGCAGCCAGTCGCATGTTTCGTAGCGTGGCCCGCGAGACGGGCACTTGCCGCTGAGTGCTACGGCGGGGAGGTCGTGCGAGCCTACTTACACTGTCAGATGATGATTTGAAATACAGCATCACCCGACCCATGAATTTCTCGTGAGTGGATGTGAAGGGAACTGAAATGGAGGAGAACGTGCTTTGCAAAGACCAAAATAGCCCTCGCCTCCGGTACACGAATGCTTAGTGTTAAACAGTGGGTCTGTTTTGCGGATCAGGTAGAGCCGTGATGACGCGCTGCATGACATGCAGAGTGGGAGCTTTGTACACCAGGAGCGATGCCTCCATCGCATTGAGGGGCAATGGGGTCCGTTGCAAGACGTGGCCTGATCTGGTGCGCTTGGCACGAACGCCTCACACGAGCCACCTAAATAAAGGAAGGTGTAGTTAGATCGGCAAAGAGGGCGACAGAAACGGGATGTTTCAAAAGCAAAAAGTTGTATGCTGTTGGCGTGCTTTCATGGCAAGCGATACATCTGTCTTTGTCTCACACCTCCAGCTCAATTAGGGGTCAGACAGACGTTATCTCTTTGAGACGTTACGTTTAACATAGAGTTACCAGGGAAGAAGGGAAGAGGTTGCCGAGGATCACAGTGCATTACAGTGAGGGAGAGATGGCTGCAAACAGCCGT